AACCCCCCATCAATATCATTGAATTTTGCACTATATTCTATTTTACTTCAAGTAAAATAAAAAAAATTAATTTCATATATATATTTTTTACACTCATCCAAATGATTTTAAATATTTCAAATGCACTGTATTCATTTTATTTAATTTTATATCCTTTTCTCATCCAAACAGTCGTGACGACCTCTTAGCAAATCTTGAGAGGATTAGATTTTGAAGAGGATTAGATTTTGAAAACGGTTTGAAATGATAACTTTTAAATCTTGTTAACATTTGACACTACTTAAGTATTTATTTTAGGAAATATAACTTGTTAGGGAGAAATCTTCTAAGTCGGTTATATTGTTTTGAATGGTGCGTTCTAATGAGATTAGGATTTAAATCTGACACCTAAAATAGGAAGCTAAACAAACCTAAAACTCCTTTCTTAGAATGGAATTTCATCTTCTAAAATACTCTTTCTAGAGCTTAATTATATTTAGGGTTAGATCCTTATCCCTCCCAAATGTTTACTCAAAGAGATCAACACTATATGTGGTATGGAGAAGAATCACCAGCCTTTACATATTCTTCACTTAGCTTGCAAATCTCAAGTGATTTGAAGCTTCATTCACGACTATGGCCCTTTGGGAAACTGGTGGCTTGGTAGGCCATTTTCAAATGCATCTTTCAGATGGTAAAAGCTGCATCATATTGCTTAGAAAACTATATTGGATTAAAACTATGATCAGGGAAGGTAATCTTTTCTCTTCGCACTAACCCTTAGGTTCAAGGCAAAAATCTTATAAAGTTGTTGGTGTGTACTCATAAACTTTTTTACAGGTGTTTCAAAGGGGGCTATCGGTATGGATGAGGATTTTCACCCTCAAGAATGGTTCCTTTGAGAAACTTGTTTGGGACCTAAGCTCTTCATAGTTCTGCCCCTACTAAGAGGCAACACGTGTTAGATTTGAGTGTAGTGTTATACAAGTATTGTGTGTGTAACTTATATCTTCCTTATTTTTTTCTCTTTAAAGCTTTACTTGTAGCCTTCAAGACTATAAATAAAAAGGTGATGAGGAATGGTTGGGGTAGGGGTGTCAATTTTGGGTCATGGGTAAGGTTCCGGTCGAACCCGAAATTGACCTGGCACTATTCAGGTCAACTCGAACCAGAACCATTTTTGCAAACGGGTCGATTTTTTGGACCTGAACCCGACCTAAATGATACGGTGCTATCAAAAAACTGCTAGTTTTCGTGTCAAAAAATGGATCAATATCTGCTTTTAATATAAAAACGGGTTAATCTCGGGTTGTCGGGTCAAAAACGAGTTTTCGGGTAAAATCAAATAAATTTCGAATCAAAGGGCCAACTCGAACTAGACCCGATTTTTGAAATGGGTCGAATTGAAGAACCCGAACCTAACCCGTTTTGGGTTCGGGTCAACCCAAACCCAAAATTTTCAGATCGGGTTCAATATTGACAGTTCTAGGTTGGGGGATTCCAACTCTGCTTTTGATCCTTGGATTAGAATCCTAGACCCTCGACTTTTTCACAAATAGTAGATACTCTTCGATCCAGTTTGAGATCTCTAGCCTTCTTCTCTACAATGTATTCTTGCTTACAAGTTCGAGCTCATCTGGTTGACCTACTAGAAAGATTTGATATCATCCGCAATCAAATTTGAATTTAAAAATTTGGAAGTAATATTTACTTCGTTCTTTACCTTTTTATTAGCTATAAGTTCCACTATCATTTGTCATGCAATTCATCTTTATTGCCTGAATTTCCTCTACATTTTTTCTGTCAACCGATTAAAATGATACGAATTATATTGGGATGAATTTGATAAATGCTAACTTTATTTTGAGATTAATATGAGATATGAAAATTTTGTATTGCACGCCGTACGTAAGAGAGCAATAAGACAGTTATGAAAATAAGTATAAATTATGAAGGTCCTGAGTTCAAATAACAGAAACCCTAACACAGTAAATAATTGCTTGGAGAACTTATCCTAAATCGCTGCTGTTTAAAGTAATTTTGTTTTTGTTTTTAAAAATATATTTGGTTTGTATTTATTAAGTTGTTCTATTTTTTAAAAAAATTATTATGTTTTTGAGATGTAGTGAAAACAACTTTGAAGTGATTTTGAATGTATATTTTTTTTTTTCAAAATAAAAATGACTCAGGCTATTTTTTTTTTTTTTTGGGACATTTAGGCCATTTAAGGCAAACTCACACACACAACGCAAACACAAAGACTCGAACCCAAGACCTCTTAGTTGGAAGCATAAGCTCTCAACCAACCAACCAAGATGATCTGTGTGACTCAGGCTATCACTTAGGCCTTCTCCAACTCCCATCGCCGTCGTCTCCTTGTAGATCGATGTGGATTTCCATCATCGATCACCATCGACGTCCATCGCTACCAATGCTAGTCGTAGGCACCACTGTGAGACACTAACTGTAACTACCTACGAGTATGCCTAGCACAACTGACCAACGTAGTCGTGGGCCGCTCCCATTGACAACCATTACTATCCTATGGATTATTCAATAAAAAAATAAAAAAAAAATGAAAACACGGATTTAATATATCAAACACATTTTTTTGAGGGGCTATTTGGTTTGATTACATAAGAGTGTGAAGAATTTGAAATGTATTTGTTTTGTAAATTTTAGTGTTTGGTTGGATGAGAATGGAATGCAACGTAAAGTAAATGAAGTGTAAATCATTTTAGCTTATTTTGGAGATAAACCAAACTTGTTTGATTTTAAGCGAGAATAATTTACACCACAAATATGCTCGCTTGACAATCTGCAGCCACCACATCGGCTGCTTACACTTGCCTATGATAATTGCTGCCTGCCACCCACTACCAACCACCATCGCTAGTCACCTCCACCCACCTCTAGCCACCACTATCGGTCACCACCCGCTGCCAGCCACCACCGCCACCGTTCGTCACCACACACCTCCTACTGCCACGGTTACAACCCTTAGATCACCATCGTCGTTGACCGGCATTGGACATCTCCATCTATAGCCACATGTTATGTGAAGAATTTAATTATTTTGATCAATCAAATCGTTTTGTTGCCATGACCCTCAAGTTTTACGTGCTCACTAGGGGGTGCGAGGGGTTTCTTGGTGAGGTGGTGTGGCTTTGTTTTTTTTTTTTTCACTATTTTGAGTTTTTTCACATTAAATATTGATGTCATTTATTTTCGTTGCTTTTAATTTATTTCTTATTCTATTATTGTGGGGTTTACTCCTCACATTCCCAACACCACCATTGTTGCCACCAACAACCACCCTCCGTCATCGTCGCCGCTACGCCACCCCCGCTATGCTATTCTCCACTTGCCAACATATTTAAACTTTACACTACATTCATTTTACTTCAAACAAAATTATAAAAAAAAAATCATTCACGTGAATTTAATTTATACTCATTCAAACAACTCCAAAATATTCTTTTCATAATATTTTACTTTTTCACATTATTTTTTTTAACCAACCAAATAACACCTTATGTCAAAATATAAATAAAATAAAACAAACAACATTAAATAAATAAATAAGTTAAGATGTCGCCCTAAGTAAAACTGCAAGTTAACCCGGTTGGTAAAAAACAGATAATGCTTTTATTTCAACCACAAAATGAGCTCTCTAATTATAGCTTATGAATATTGCTGACGAAGAAAAGAGATAGAGGACATCATAAACGGCAAAAAAACCGATGATCCTCCCTTAAAATAGGAAAAAGGATAAAGACAAGGCTTTTTCTTCGATCAATGGATAGAATAGATGAGCTTATAAATAGCTTGGATTGGAAGGAGGGATATCAAAGCTTTCTTCCTCCATTGATCATTAGTTCTCAAAGAATTAATTTCTAAGCTCCTTCCTCTCACCCCTTCAATATAATTTCTTAATTCTGCTTTAAAACTACTACATAGAGATCAATCATGGCAGTCGGAGAAGTAGGGAATCCTACAAACGGAAAGGAATACCCCGGCAAGATGACAGCTTTCGTATTCCTAGCATGTTTAGTCGCCGCCACCGGTGGTCTCATATTTGGTTATGACATCGGCATCTCCGGCGGAGTCACATCGATGGACTCTTTCCTTATTCGATTCTTCCCATCAGTGTACCGCCAACAGAAGGAAAGATTATCTACTAATGAGTATTGCAAATTCAATAGCAATCTCCTTACCCTTTTCACGTCGTCCCTATATCTGGCGGCCCTTGTCGCATCCTTCTTCGCCTCGACTGTGACAAGAGCGTTCGGTCGCAAATGGTCCATGTTCGGCGGCGGCCTCATCTTCCTTATCGGCGCAACCCTCAACGGTGCGGCAGTGAACTTGCTGATGCTAATCCTCGGCCGCATCCTCCTCGGCATCGGCGTCGGTTTCGCCAACCAATCAGTGCCTGTCTACCTTTCGGAGATGGCTCCAGCTAGGCTCCGCGGCATGCTCAATATTGGCTTCCAGATGATGATCACAATTGGCATCCTCGCCGCAAATCTCATCAACTTCTGGATGGCCCAGATCAAAGGGGGATGGAGCTGGCGCGTGAGCCTTGCGCTTGCTTCCGTGCCCGGCGCCATTATCGCGATTGGCGCATTGGCTCTCCCTGAGACCCCAAACTCTCTAATTGAACGCGGGCATGAGGAGGCGGCCAAGGCCATGCTCCGCAAAGTGCGTGGCACTGATCAAATACATGAGGAATTCCATGATCTTGTAATCGCCAGTAACGACTCCAAGGCGGTGAAGCATCCATGGAAAAAGATCACAGAGCGTAGGTATCGACCACAACTAACAATGGCAATACTTATCCCTTTTTTTCAACAGATCACAGGCATAAACGCGATCATGTTCTATGCTCCTGTGCTCTTCAAAACCATAGGCTTCGGAGACCAGGCTTCCCTCATATCTTCTGTTATCACCGGCTTGGTGAACTTGGTTGCCACATCTGTGTCGATTGTATCAGTAGACAAGTTGGGGCGACGTGCTCTGCTTTTAGAAGGCGGCGTTCAAATGTTTATCAGCCAGGTAATTGTGGGAATGCTCATCGGAATTAAGTTCGGAGTGACCGGAGCACACACGGAGTTGTCAAGAAGCTACGCCGGGTTGGTGGTAGCATTCATTTGCATCTATGTGGCCGCTTTTGCTTGGTCTTGGGGGCCGCTCGGGTGGCTTGTGCCGTCGGAGATCTTCCCGTTGGAGATTAGGTCGGCGGGCCAGAGCATCAACGTATCGATGAACATGTTTTTCACATTCATCATAGCTCAGTTGTTCCTCAAGATGCTCTGTCTGATGAAATTCGAACTTTTTTTCTTCTTTGCTGGCTGGGTTATGATAATGACAGTATTTGTGGCGTTTTTCTTGCCGGAGACGAAGAACGTTCCGATTGAGGAGATGGAATTCGTGTGGAAGAAGCATTGGTTTTGGGGCAAGTTCATCCCTGATAAAGCTTTGCACGTTGCCGCATAATTAAGCATATACGCCATCCAATCTTTTATTTTATGGTTGTCCAAAAGTTTTTTTTTTTCAATTATTTTGTGGTTGATTTAAACAATCACACAATCTAATTCTTTTATTCTCTTCTCACAATAATTACATTAAACACAAATGTATTTTGTTTTATCAGTATAAATATTTTGTTTTCATGGAATGAGCATATACATGCATGAAATGGTAGGAGTGGCTCCAATGGGAGATAAAATTAGAGAGGGTTGCCTTAGATGGTTTGGTCATATAAAACAGCGGTCTTCCTGTTGTGCAAACAATCATAGCAGAAACAAAATTCACACAATATAAACAAAATAAATATGGTGATTTATGTAGTTTAACGAAGATACTTACGTCTACGGGGAGGGGATGATGATTTCTCTAAATTGAAAAATAATAGTGAATTACAATGATCTCTCTTTCTCTCATATATACAATTCAATAGTCCTTAGATCTTATTTATAGATTTGAGAGAAAACAATTAAGAAAACCTCAATTACTCAACCGACTCTTTACATTTGCCCTAACAACAACCATAATGGACACTATAGAAAAATTACTGATTTTAGAAGGATTTTTCCTCCGAAAATTGGGTGTTTTCTGAAAGAAATGAAGTTTTCTGGCAGTTTTCCACTGAAACCTTCTGTGCCGATAAAACTAGCACAGGAACATATATTCAGATGGGTGTATGGCCGATGGAAAATTTTATTGTGAATTTTCGATAAATTTGTCCAAAAAAAATCTTTGCAGAAGACTACAGTCTTTTTATCAAATTAAATATAAAGTTGATAACATTTTGTAATAAATATAAAACATCTAATCTAATCATTTTCAGTGTTCTCACTCTCCTCAGACTCAGGTAGGCTGCTGATCCTTCTTTTGATTTTTTTTTTTAATGTATAATCGCAATTTTGTATGTATCTCAGATTATTGCATCAACATATAATCTCAATATTATGTTACGTGATTCTACAACTAATGAATGATGTACACGATCAAAGTGCTTCCATGCTTCTTTTCAATTGATGGATGAGAAAGAACACCATATTGAGATAACTTTTCTTTATGCCTTCTCGTGTAACCTATGAAGCTCATTGATGTATAAATCACTGAAGTTTGAGAATGATTGGTAAATGAAATAATTGATAATATGGCACATCCTTTTGTTTTGTTGTTTCCCCGATTTGGGTTTGTATCGAGGTGCACTGCAAGTACAATAAATAACTTCCATTAGATCATCATTAGTACAACATACAACCGCTCATACAACAATCAATTTTAAAGCATTCAATCTCAACTTTGATATTAACTTTTTTGTCACTAGCAAAAAGAAAATGTAGAAAATGAACTTTGGGGGGTATTTCAATTTTTTTTAAAAAAAAATTGCTATGTATAATTTTTTATTCTAACTATTTTACTTATTAAAATTTTAAATACATATTTAGAATAATTTGAAAAATATTAATTTGTGCCCCCACTGATAAAAATTTATGGCTCCGTCCCTGTTCTTTGTTCGATAAAAATCTATGATAATTAAATTGTCCTATGGATTTATTACCTAAAGTAGGCTGATGAACTCATTGAAAACTTATGAGAAATATTGTATTCAATTTTAATACCAAGCATCCTAACTACAATTGATAACTCTGAATGACTAGTTCAACCATCTCAAATTAATTGTCGAGTAGCTCATAGTAATTTATAGAATTTTTGTGATTATATATTAGGTGACTCATCTATATGTTTTCATGAATTCAAACATGTACTATATCGAAAATAAGTTCTTTATACATTCTATTAATTTGATCATTCACTATTGTTCTTGAAGTGTGGTGGGACCATATTGAGTGTCTGTATGTGACTAATACTCTCCATGTGATGTCCAAAATTAATAATCTAGGATAAATCCTCTATGATATAATTTAAGATTAACCTTATCTGGTTTAAGGTAAGCTTGATTTTAATACTTTGAACATAAACATCTAAACATTCTATTTAACATAAATGAAAGTAGTTTCGTTAACATACTATGTGAATAAGATATTCAACACCCTTACTAAATTCATCATCCAGTGATTTTCGCCCCGTTAATAATCTATTATACATCCAACACCTGTCATCTCGAATATACATATGTAGTTTGAATTAATAATCCTAAAAATAAAACAATCGAACAAAAATAATTAAGAGAATACTCCTCTTTTTCTAACATTAGTTTATTACATTATGTGTGTTATTTATTAGGCATTAAAAAAATATTTGACTAATTTCATCAAACGATCTTTAAAATAAAAAATTAATTTAAACAGTTACTAATAATAACATAATGGAATATTTACTAAAGATCCAACATTGGTTACTAACAAGATATTAACGAAATGGATTAAAATACATTTTTAATAAAATCTAATGGTTCAAATCATAATAAATAAAAAATGAGCAAAGAGAAAAACTTTTATCTCTCAAATCTCAAAAAAATAAAGAAAATAAGCTATAAATCACCTGAAACGATGACGAGCGATGGAGAGGCTGAGATTATTTGGTATGGGAGGGGAGGATGGCACCGAAAATTTTCTCAGGAAAACCTATCGGGTTAACTAATTACTGGGGAATTTTCCAGGAAAATGTTCGAGGGATTGTCCGCCGGAAATTCCGGCAGAAATTTATGCTGAAAATTCTGATTGTAAATGTTGATTTTTCTTGTAGTGGTAGAGTATGTGTTAGCTAACACATATCTCTATGCCACAACAGACTGATCTCAATTTGCAATAATCAACCTATTATATCTCAAATAAATTGTAAAAATAATTAATAATTATTTATTATACCGAGCAAGATAACGATTGTAGACAATAGAATTTAAATAAATATTACAAGAAAGGTAAATAAATAAGTACTTCTTATATCATAGCATAAAGAAAAAAAAAATCTTAGTTATTTATAACTGTTATCAGAAAAAAATAGCAAAATTTAATTCATTGGAAATAAAAAACCACCAGCAATCACAAGCAGCCCTCCAAACAGATCCAGCAAATTAAGAACTCATCAGCAAGCCAGGAACGAGTTGAAGCATCACAGATAATGCCTGCCCAATTGATACCAGTCAAACCTAACGATCACAAATAAAGTCATTCCAAAAAAATCAAACCAACTCACTGGCTGAAGATATGGATACATAATCTTTCTCTTTTTTATCAACTTCCCCCATTTCACCTTTCCAAGTTATAATTATAAACCACTCTAAAAATCCTCTATATAGAGATATCAAGTATCACCTCCACCATGTGTTTCCTCGTTAACGCTCCAGCACATAATAATATACTAAGCAACATTTAATATAACAAACACCCATATTACCTCCTATAGTTATATCCAACCAGTCAATAACAAGTAAATGCCTGTAGAAATTGTCTTAAAAAAAAACAATTAGACTGGTGAATCAAGCCTGCAGGATAACTTAAAAGAGTAATTCACATCAAAAAGAATGCCCGTTTATTTTTCAGGTATAATTAACACGTGATCAAAAGAGCATATGAGTCACGCAATTTCATATTTCTCTCCTCAGCATTCATAACTTTACATTGCCTATTAGTAGAAGCATCCAAGATACAACAAGTGTTTCTAGTGAATGTTTTTTGTTTGTTCCAAACCAGTGTTCGCCAATCCACTCACATTCCCAAAGTAAAGGTATTACTCTTTAAAATCCTGATAATAAGCATTTTCTTGTTTATCCATTATATTTTAAGTACTTATTGTTGTTAATAGGTAATTGCTTTTCCTAATTAATCAAATATAAACTAATGATATAATGATCAAGGTATTAAATCATGCCTTCTATAGCGTCCTTTTGAATTCGGTTACAAATTTTATTAAATGCACTCAAAAGCTAAATTGAAATAATACTAACTAAAATATTGTAATATACTCTAATACAATAAATTAGTCGTATCCCTATAATATTTATCACATAAAGTATAGCTTACGCCCAACTCTATCTGGTTAGAATATATAATTGATATATATATGTCTTTTTAATAAAATTAAGGATTAATGCTAACGAAAAACTTTAAAAATATTTAAATTGTCCTTCATTTATAGTATTTAAATGACTTTACTCCTAATAAACACAAATTAAAATAAATATCATTGAGTCATACATACGTACATAGGTTAATATAAACTTGTTGTTTTTTTCTTCTCAAAAATTATGATAAGATACTCATTTTTTACTTAGAGGGGATTTGTTTCAAGATCTGAGAGCTAATAACTTTATTAAATTGCTTGCAACACATGCGACAATAATGACGATTC